TTTCACTAAAACAGATTTTTCATCTTTCAAAGATTTTTCCAAATATGTTGTTTTCTTTTCAAACTCTTCTTCAAAATCAGAAATCTTTTCTTTAAGCTTGAGATTGGTTTTAGCTAAAACATTTTTTTCATTTTCTGAATTATTAAGATCATCTTGAAGATAAGTTTTCTCCACTGACAAATTCTGATTAACCTTCATGTTGTTGGTTTGTCTCGATTCATAACCTGCAATCTTGTCATTCAGGTTAGAAATTTGTTTTTGTAAACCATATATTGAGAAAGAAACTTTTACTTGATTAAAATGATTGTTCATCAAAATGATTATCAGAAGATTATCCTCACCGTTGAAGGCCATCTTTGGCCAAACAACTTCTCCCTCATTCCCCTTACAATACAACGGTCTCCTTCCTTGCCTTCATCTTCGATAACAATAGCTCCTCCTGGGGACCTCTATGGTTTCTCCTCCGCCCTCCCGCACTTCATCGTTCCCCTTACCTCCAGTCATCCCTTTTAATCATCCCCTTCGGCCACTAGTTCTCCTTGCTACCCAGGAGCGCCCCCTGTTGTAGATCTCCATCTACGTAGTTCTATCAAATCCACTAAACCAGGTAGCAACAACAGACAGAGATTTCATCTAGTTTTGTTTTTCATCATGTTTCGAACAATCATCGAGTTTGAATGAATAAATCGAATCATAAAGATTGGTTTTTAATATGTTGATTTAGATGAAGAAAGCGAATGGATTTTTATTGTAACAACACTTTCGATGAACCCAGATTCGTTTTCTTGACATCACAACATCGATTTAGAGGTGTATGGTAGATCCCATACCATTTGCTTTTAATGCGTTGAATACAAAACCTGGAGGAGGCTCAGGGTAGGGTGTTCTCAGAAAGATCTTTAACTCCCCTTTCTCTCGTTTGTTTTAGTTCGACTCCCTTCTGAATTTTTCTAGGGTTTGTTTTTCACAAACCTTACAATTTCTCAGCATGTTTCACAAATCTTGGAAAGTAGGTTTTCTAATTTGTGTTGTTTAAGACCACCAAGATCAAGAAATTGGAGTAATCAAACAGCAAAAAGATCAATCCTTTTACCAAGTCATCTATCTTCTTTGCTTTTTCAGATCTTGTTTTTTTCAACTTCTTTTAGCAATATCCTGAATTTTCTCTTGTTGTTGTCTTATAATTTTTTGTTTGATTTCGATAGAAATGAGACGTATATGAATTGGGGATATGATAAAGATTACAACTTGCACATCTCATGGTTTCAATTATGCATTCATTTCAGTTTTCAGTTTAAGATAAAGATTATCTTCATGATTTCTAAAAGATATATTTAGATTTACAATCTTTTTCTTCATGTATAGGTAAACCAAATACACGATGATTTAGTAAATCAAATATGGTCTTATTTGGTGCAAGGGTTTGTCGTCGAAGATGGTATAGTAGCCGAAGAAGATGACCGGATAAGGAAAGCTTTATTTTTTTTTATTATTCAATGCTTTACATACTTGTACACAATGCATTGAAAGTTATACAACAAAAAACCAAAGGATCTTTGGCCTAGCGGTATGTGAGTCTTTGGCCTTCTAGGAGGTCAAGGGTTCAAACCTTACCATAGGTGAGTAGGGTGTGTGAGTTTATTTGTTCTATTTACCGTATATAAATATTATATACTTCAAAAAAAAAGTTATACAACAAAAAAGCATATTATATAAAAAGGTAAAATGACTAAAATACCTTAGATTTAACAGAACTAAACTTAACGGAATTAGAGGCAACGACCTAATTCATAACAAAATTGAAACCACAATATCCGCAATCAATCGGGGGACCCTTTCCATAATTGACATATAACCACATGGGACGAAATATTTAATATACTCTAAATTTTGTGTATAAAATATTTTGATAAAACCTAATAAAATTTTAAAACACCACAAATTGCTTTTACATTTTTACAATCTCATAACATGTTTATTTAAATTAATCCGCTTGATACCATTATATCAATCTATTATTTGATGATGTATCGACAGTCAAATATATTTATCAAGTTATACACACCACAATAGAATAGTAAATTATAGAAAAAAACATACATATTATTATTTTTAATCTAATACTTATATACATATATGTACTTTTACTTTTTATACGTATCGGTTTGATTCTTTTAGCATGTGTATTCATCAATAAATAAATTCATGACAATGAATATTCGTTAGTAAATAACCACACATATTAACCGAATAACATATACTTGTGAAGCTCATAGGATATATTCATTAACGACTATAATTGTATAAAAAATCATTAATATGTGATATTAATTCTATGAATAGGTATATATCTTTATCACTTAATAAACACAATATGAAAATCATATATGGAATTCATTAATATGCGACATTATGTCTATATATAAGTATTTTGATGGATGAAAGTGCATTATACAAAAGTTATGAGTGTGTTGTATTATGCATACAGATACATTCATCAATGAATGAATATACATATAGTCTGAATTAATCAAAATTATGAAATTCATATAATTTATAATCATTAATGAATATACATCATAGTCATCGATTTATATTTAATGTTAGAAAAAGAAACTGAATATCTTTATCAAAACCCATTGAAGCAGGGACATAATTAAATGAATTAAAGGGACATAATTATATATATCCAACAACTAGAACCACATGCATCGTTTTCTAAGCAAGTCAAATTAATTAGTGATATGAGTTGTCTAACTGTTAGAAGAAGACTAGAAGTCAACCTACGTGTTATCTTCTTAATTAGTTGGTTTAAGTGAGGAATCCGTAATCCAAAAAGAAATCATTGGTCTTGTTTTATTCCATTTTAATTAAATGGAACACAGGAGCTTGGAAATGGTAACGTTTATTGAATTTTAAATGATTAAAAATAAATTGTATTTTATAAAGTGGATATTTCATTGACGTTGGTTGACAAGGTGAACTGGTTTTAAAAATTGTGAAGCTAATTTGAAATTGCATATTTGTACAAGCAAACTTCAAATCACAAATATACGAAAGTATGAAACGATTATTTATCTGTCACATACTACAAAATACATGCATGGGCAGGTCCTGTGAGACCATAAGGACTCGTCTCCTTCATCTGAAGGTTTTGACCATTTTTCTAATGAATGTTTGCTTTTCATGTGAAGGTTCGATTTTTGTCCTTTGAAGGTTTGGCGTTTTACTATAGAGGTTTGGTATTTTTTTGTTGTGAAGGCATCCTATTGTAATAGTTTGATTATATTAACTCATCCGAGGGCTCATATTTGGTTTCACGGATCTCACAAAAACTAAAGTGGTCTCACATGACCCCAAGTTTACCACAAGCATGGAACACTTGGGATGATCGGGTGATTACACACACAAAAGCATCTCAAAAGTATCATTTTATGTGTATTATACACCTGGATCGTGTCGCATTGCATTAATTTTTCCATACAAGTGTGTCAACAAAAAAAAAAAGACAAACCAATACCAAAAGTGGTCAAAGTGACCCATGCCATGTAAGTCTCTATCCAAGCCACCTGCGCCTACCGGCAACCCAAGTCATGGGCTAGGCCATGTATCTCTTTGTTTTGCCACACAAGTTACATGTGATTAGGTCAACGAATGCAACCAGAAGCCTCAGGTGGGACGCGTGATCCTAGTGGTGACCAGGTCGTGGATGATAGATTTCAGGGACCATAATATGCCAATCTTTGATTCTTTAGCGGTTTCTTCCCTATCATAGTTTAAACTGATTAGAAACCATCATTTGAGTCGGACTGAAATGACCGAAAAATTGAAAATCATCTCAATGGTATTAAATTATCCAAAATATACGTCATGGATCCAAAGACCTCAATTCCAACAAAAATAACCGAATTACTGTAGCGGAACACAATAAAACTAACCACCACTGAGATTTTCTACATAAATCAACAACTCAAGCTCCTGACATGAAAAAAAAACCAAACACCACTAGCTGGCAATTTGATATATATACAACCCTCCACCCCGAGGATATATTTTACACTTGCCCTAGCTATAGTTTTCAACATGGCTAATTGCCTGAAATGCATTAATTTTGAAAGGAGAGTTAGACCAAAAGGTCTACTTAATCCTTTGAATAACAGTAGTTTAAACAACATTTTTAAATATGCACTTTGAAACAACATTCAAAATGTATGCAGATTTAGAAGACCACATTCCCACCCGGATATCTTCACAAAGTGGTTGCAACTTCTCACTCGATGACGTATCTCGAGGATATCACATCTACCACATAGTTACTTGACAACAAGACACTACAACAAAATTAAGTTTATAGGACACCATTAGTTCTAAGCGTCTTAATAGACCATTTTATAGAACTTAATTTTTAAGACCAAGATATAAAGCAAATTATCTAAAGGTGTTCTAACAAGTTGTCGACAAAATATTACATGGACATGTGAGTATCAATATTCATTATATGTGCATGCTTAATAAATAATCATTTCACAAACAAATTTTTCCTTAAAAGCATTCCTTGCATTTTAATTGAAAAAAATTTGGTGGTCACTTTTCATCACTAAAGATCCGTCACTAATTTACGTTAGTGACCAAATTCAAAAATAGTCACAAATTAGTGACAACCAGAGTGGTCCCTGCATTTGTGACGAATAACCTGGTCACTAAATGTCATACTAAATCAGTGAAAGTCGTCACTAATTTCTCATTTAGTGACCAAAGTCAGTGACCACCACAAAGTAGGTCACTAGTTAGTTCAAGATAACAAATCCATTAGTTGGTGTTAATGTCCATTAGAGACCAAATATGTGGTCACTAACCATTAATGGCTTCTAGTGACCAAAAAGGTAGTCACTAACTAAAAGGATATGAACAAAAATTATGCTAATTTCCACCTCAATTTTATTGCAATAAAATTTAAACCTACTAATTTGTAGTAATGAAAATCAAAAATGTTAACTCCATTTTCATAACGTAAAATTCTTTGATCTAAACAAAAACAAGCACGTCACTATTATATATCATCAACATATGTCTATCTATACATCCTAAAAGATTTTAGTATCAACATTTACACCACATCTTCTAGCAACTTAAGCACACACAAGCTTCCACTTGTTCTTATTGCCAATTTCACAACACTCGTCTGCCTTCATTCCTTCTTCAACACCTATACATAGATTTCTTGATAGCATTTTTGTAGTGGTCCTTGTAGCTCAATCGTTGTTTGCTTCTTAACATGACTTTTATTCATAACTGCTAAAAGATCTCAACTTATTCACACAAATATATATGTTAAATAACATAATCATATAAAGTAAAATGTAAGAACCCATTTACCTTGATATAAGCTTGAACCGAAAGTAGAGAAGTTTAAGCTTAGGACAAAAAGAGATGGATAAATTTGTTTCAAATCAGTGAAAGAGTATGTCAAGTCCATGGATATGATACGTTCTTGCAATAGAGAAAGCTCGTTGAGAAAATGGTGAAATACGGTCTTGCAATAGAGAAAGCTCGTTGAGATATGATGGAGGCCTCCAACACGCGCCCTCGAATGGAGGCTAGACAAAGTCCCCTAGAATGGAGGCGAAAGAGTATGTCAAGTCCGTGGATGTGGTAGACCCAGCTCTCATACAATGTAAAGATATGTGGAACCTCTTTGAATCTCTCTCTAAAAGAGCCTTTATAAAGAGAGGGAGGTTCCTACATATATACAAATTCGATGGTCCGTATTTAGCCGATGTCGACTCCAACATTTTCTTTCTATGCCTGGCCCATTTGTGGTCCCAAACTTACATTTACTTTCTACTTTTTATTCTAATAACCATCTCTCAGTTACTACCATATGTATTTTGCTTCTAGAATGAAGACGAGCACTAGTGACAACGCTGATGTGAACAGAAAATAAATGTAGCAAGTTTTTGATAACTTGAAAATAAATGGGTGCCACTTTACTTGATCTGCTATAGAAGGGAATAAAAGGAACACGAAGTGTTCACAATGTAGAGTTTCACAAAAAATGAACCAAATGCTCCTACTCAACTTCTCTGTTCCTCCAATTTCCATGTACAAAACGTAATTATTTTTACAACTGAAACATGAAATGGAGTTAAAAAGGATTGCACAAAAAGTAGAGTAAGCTTACAGGTCGAGATGATTAGTTGATACTTCTTTATTTGTGTACATATAGCTTGCAATTTACTAATAAATCAGGACGAATAAATCAGGATTAACGTTTTACAGTACCAAAGGAATCTGTGTTAAAACACAAAGTATGAAGGTATAGTCTACTGCAACTAATATAAAAAAACACATTAACTTCTTAGATGATTACAACAGTACAATAGAACTGATCACATATTTATCAAAGAATCTATTGGTATAGTCCACACCAAATTAAATTTACAGGTTTTGAAGTTATCATCTTCTTAGATCTTTTAAACCTAACCATCTATGATAATTACTAATGGAAAAATTATTTTTAACATATTTTAAAACATTATTATAAACAAATCATACAATTAAAATACCAACTATCCCCATGGGATTTCAAAGAAATACAGAGATTTAAAATTCAAAAAAAAAATTCAAACCAAACATGGGACTGAAATGAAATTGAATTCCAAATTTCATCAAATGTAATCCAATCCAATCCAATCCAATCCTACAAACCAAACTGGGCCTTGGAGATAGGTGTCATTTCAAACCCAAATCCTATAGATTTCAAATTATTTATAAAACAAATAAATATTTAAAAAGAAAATTATACATGAGAAAAATGAAGTAATCAATAAAACTAAAAGCATTTGCATATGGCTAAGTATTTCTCCAACAGAAGCTAGAAAGCCAAACCAGAAGATAACCAAAAGCTGGACTCATGGGAAACAGTGGCAAAAAAAGTGGCCTTTTTGCAATAGTATCGTGTGACTCTTCCAAAGAAAGGTTCAATTTCTACTTAGAATCTAGAAAAAGAAGATACATTTTATGGTAAAATATGCATGCAGCAGTAACAGAGAAACAACCAACCGTAAGCTAAAAACCAAATAAGAAAAGTTCAAACTTCACTCAAAATCCGAGAAAAGGTGAGGTTTTCTTACAGTAAAGAGACATAGAAACAAAAATAAATATCTATTCAACTACCAACTAAACACCAGCAACAACAACCATAAAAGACATAAAGACAGAAGAAAGAAAAAGTCTCATATCTATTCAAGACCTAACCAAATGAAGATATTTATGCATCGAAAAACCATAATGCAAACCATCTAAATACCAAAACATAAGTATTCCCATGTAAATAACAAAGTGGAACAAAGGAATACCCATGTAAAACGAAGACAAGTTACCAATGTATAGTGCAAATGTAACCAACGATTCAATCCACTCCAGTCCAAATTTGTTCAGTGAGACACTTTCGGTATTAATTTATCAAAACCTAAGTTTTGTGATATTGTGAGAGAAATTTGAATTTTCTAGAGAAACTGAAATGTGAAAGAAGAAAGAAGAAGCAGTGGGATAATGTTTGAATTTTGAAAGTTTATTAGGAACCAAATCGAGGACTTGCAAGTAAAATATTACCACAAGTAAGGAGTTGGCTTGGAACTGAGCCAACAACCAAGCAAATCAAAACTGAAACCTACCATGAAAATCACCTATAATGTAACCGCAAAAAGCCAATTAACGTGTTGCTATCAAAACCACTACAAAACTCACCTTGATGCCATTATTAAACCCTCTAACCAATTGATAAATTTCAGGTATATACTCCATTAAGTGCAATAATATCATGGAAACAGACCAAGTCTGGTTGTTATCTCTAAAAGATATATTCTCTAATCAAATGTTTTCCACTTTTTTAAACTTTATTACCTCTGTATCTTTCATTGCAGAGATTACCTGTACAAGCTGGACAGACACCACAATTATTGCAGTATTTTGGGACGCTTTTAACTAATGGGAAACTAAACGCATTTACATCAAAGCGAGAGCAACTCCGAAAGTTGTTGCTGCTTTTGCCAAGCGAAGAGAGTTCGACAAAATTTTGATCAAATAACCTAATTAAAGTTTATTACGTGTGGAAGAAATCGCAGGTCTAAACAAGAAATCTAGATGCCGTTCAATCGAGTTGAGGTATGGAGGCATGAAATCGAGATGATGTGTGAAAGACAGAAATCAAGATGCTGTGTGAAAGGCAGAAATCGAGAACTACAACGATGAGAACATGAAGTCGATTACCTGTGAAGAAGAGATGATATGAATGGATGCGTCGATTACCTGTGAAGAAGACGAGAAACCGATGAGAAGATGAAGTCGATTGATGGTGTATGGAGGTGTGAGGTACAGTGCGTGAATCGGTGGAGGAAGGAGGCCGGTTAGGGCAATCAGGTTTATTTTGAAAATTTGAGCCCAATTTTACAAAAATCACACAATAGCCGCAAAATAATTGATTGCACAATCTGGAAAAAAAACAGCCATTACCCAAATCATAAAAAACAAGCAGCAATGGCCACCACGATGAGATGATGACGAAGAAAAGATGAGAGGCAGGAAGCAAGCATTCAGCTTATAACTTGGCCATCAACAGGCCATTTTCTTTTTAACAAACATTTTTAAATTTTATTCAATTTCAACCTTCACTAGTGTGAAACCTGAAATGGAGTTTATGCAAATGCAATTGGTGGAGATGATTCAGATGCAATTGTTAGAACTTAGTGGCTGGATTGACTATAACTTTGATCTAACAATCCCCCAAATACATAGAACCAATAGCTAGTTTGATCAAAATACAACACATTTCTCTACATTGAAAACAAAGTAGAAACCCTAATTTTAGATAGACCAACCAAATAGCAAAATAACTTCACCACAATGTAATCAATAGTCAGATAAGATAAATCGAGTAATCATATAAATTATATCAGAAACAAAAAGCTAATATGTAGTTGTCAATTTATAATACATTTGCGATTAACATCTCATTTGATTGCTCAAACAAAAATACCTTGAAGAGACTGCCTTACAGATGAGCCTAGGAAGTAGAGGCAATGATGCAAAGGTGTGAAGCTCGTCGTCACCGTAGACGGTAACCGCTCCCAAACTCTCCCCGGCGTCCGATGACGGTGCTGTGTGTTAATGGACTCTTCGTTTATCGTCCCCTTTCTCGTTCCAATTCCAAAGAACATAACCATGGTCCATGACACTAAAATTATAAAGCCCAAATTTCTTCATAAAACCCACGGCCCATTTTCACAAAAAAATTATCAAACAATTATTATTATTATGGCAAAATATGCAAAATAGCAATTTACTTTTACAAATTTTCCTATTATAGTATTCTACTTTCAGTTTGTCTTATTACAGCAATATGCTTTCAAAATATTTTTATTAGGGCATTGTACTTTCAAAAATTTACCCATTATAGCATTGGGTAACCTTTTAAAATAAATTTACCCATTATATCAGGTTTCCTTGCCACCTCATCGTCCACGTAGGCTGTCCACATGTACGATAATGATGACATGACATATTTTATTACAGCATTATACTTTCAAAATTACTTTGTTATAACGTTACCAATTTTTATTACAACATTATACTTTTAATTTTAATATTTTTATCATTTAAACATTGTAAATTTAATCAAATATATTTACTAAAAGTTATAATATCAGAAATTAAACATGGTTAGAAAAGATCACTATTTCATAAATAAAAATATTCAAAAAAAACCATTCATTCATCGAGTTCATCGTAAATTTCATGGCTTACTTTGTAATGTCAAAACATAAACAAGTGGACATTTTTTCAACAAAAAAAATCATCATATTCACATTCGTTTAACAATGTTATTTAATCAAGTAGAACCGCCACCTTCTCCATCTTTCTCAACAGTATTTTTCCGTATGTTATTCAAAGTTATCATTTCACTTTGCCTCCTTTTTTTCGAGATGAACCTTGGTTGTGATTCCACTTGAGATGGTTCCTGTTCAAATTAGTATGCAATTGATATATAAAACTAGTATGAAACTCGAAAATTTTACATTACCTTTTTAACATCCCTTTGTGACCCGTTCCGCCTCGTGTACCCCCTTCACTGTTTTGTCTATGAAAATTAGTCCTAGGCCTGCCTGGTGGTCTGACATCTTTCAATGGTGCATCTTTTTCCTCATTCTTGCATGATCTACTCTTATGACCTGCTTCATTACACTTTGTACATGTCATTCTTCTTCCTTGTCTTCCAAGTTGTCATGTTGAAGTCAATAATCTTTCCACTGCGTCCCTTCTTTCTTTTAAGTTTTGGCCTTCCTATAGTTACTTGTGACACTAGAACTTCCAATAAGGAGAAATTCTTGATAAAATTAGCCTATGGTTTCACCTTCATTTTTAACCGAGAATCCCACATTACACAAGATTAGACCGACAAATGCAGATGAAGACATCAAAGACAAATGCTACTGTACAATACAGAGACCATAGTTCATCAAAGACAAATGCTTGAATTATTCTTTGTAAATGTACATATACATTGCTGTAAAATATATTGAACTTACCTGTTGGAACATGATGTGTGATGAGAAAGTCGATGAGGAAGAGGATGAGAGTCGTTTTTAGGGTTTAGATTCGATTAGGAAGAAGAGGGTGGGGGTCGATTAGGGTGAATGAGGAACAAGATGTGCGATTGAGGGTGAACGAACAGTCATCAGGAGTGCAATTGACAGGGATTGAGGAGTTTTTCATTTTCAAAAATTGTTTTTAATTTAAAATTTTCTTTTAAATTGTGACGTAAGATATCCATGTGGAACAAGTTATGTTTCCATGTCATTTTAAGTTTGACACATCAACAAAGAAAAACATGTTCAAAAGGTAACAAGTTACCTAATGCTATAACGAGTAAATTTTTGAAAATACAATTCCCTAATAAAAAATATTTTGAAAGTACATTGTTGTAATAAGAAAAACTGAAAGTAGAATGTTATAATAAGAAAATTTGTAAAAGTAAGTTGCTGTTTTACGCATTTTGCCCTTATTATTATAAATTTTTTATTTTATAAATTTATTAAAACTTTGTAACAAAAAATTGTTTATATATTAAGGGGTCGTTTACCAAACACTTACCCAGCAAGCGCTTACCGGTAAAATTCAACACTACCACTTATTTACCGGGTAAGACTTTAGTCCACTAAAACGACATCGTACACAATTTTTGGTTCTTATTTATCGGGTAAGACTCTCGGTCATTGTCTCCCTCTTACCGGGTAATATTATTGGTCCTTACCATATTCATCCGGTAAGGTAATGTGACTTAGTAAGTCTTACATGGATGAACATTTGGTAAACGACCCTTAAATAATCAAACTTAGTATAAGACGATTTGTTATATGTTTGATTCGTTTACAATTCTAATCATTTTTCATCGTAACTCCTTCGATCACAACTTATGTTCAGTTCATCTCTATACATAAATGTCATCAAACATGGACTTTTCAAATTGAATTTAAAAATAAAGCATGTTTAAATTAGTAATTATGCTTAATAGGATATATTTTTAAAAATGTCTTGTTTAGTTAGTGATCACTATTTTTGGTCACTAATCATTTTAAATTTTGTGACCACTATTTTTTCACTACTAAAAAAAGGGTATCACAGACGGATTTTTCTGGCGGAAATTCCGTCGGAAATATTCCCGACGGATTTCCAATGGATCCCAAAAAAGTCAAAAAAAGTCAACTTTTATCCAGATCCGCCACAAATCCCCCACTGAATTTTTGGAAAAAAATATTAAAATTATTTTAAACGGATTTGTGACGGATTTCCGACGGATTTTTTACTTATTCAAAACCGTCACAAATCCGTTGCAAAATTTGTCTAATTTATTTAAATAAATTAATTAGCGTTAATCAAAAACAATTTACGACGGATTTCCGACAAAATTTAATTTTTAATAAAAAACAAATCGAATTCCGTCAGAAATTTGTAAACTTTTTATATGTATATATCTTTGTTAGGAAAGAAATAAAAATAAAACATTTTTCCTTTTTGAAATTTCCGACGGAATTTAATTTTTTAAAATAAAAATTAAATTCCGTCGTCTGTTGGAAATATTTTAAACCTTTTTTTATAGATATATTTGTTAGGAAACAAATAAAAATAAAATATTTTTCCGTTTAAAGTTTCCGACGGAATTTAATTTTTATTAAAAAAATTTAAATTCCGTCTGAAATTTTAAACCTTTTATATACATATATATCTTTGTTAGGAAAGAAATAAACATAAAACATTTTTCCTTTTAAAATTTCCGACGGAATTTAATTTTTTTTAAATAAAAATTAAATTTCGTCGGAAATCCGTCGAAAATATTTTACTAATATATATATATATTTGGTAAGAAAAAAATAAAAATAAAACATTTTTTTTAAATTCGAAATATTTTACCTTTTTATATATATCTATTTTTTTGGTAAGAAAAAAAATAAAAAAAACATTTTTTCTTTTAAAATTTCTAAAGGATTTTCGATGGAATATAATTTTTTTAAATAAAAATTAAATTCCGTCGGAAATTTTAAAAGAAAAAATGTTTTATTTTTAATTTTTTCCAAGTTTAAGTTATTATAAACTTTTTTATTAAATATTACCAACGGAGTAGTCGTATGTTCAGTTATATTTAATTGACCTATTGGTTTTATTCGGTTCAGTTGGACTTTTATATGTGTTATTGGGTTTATTGGATTTTGATGGAATTTAATGGATCTTAGTGGATTTTTTTCGGTTCAACTAGGTACTAATTGGGCCTTATTTGGTTCAATTGGGTTTTAATAAATCCATTGGGCTTTAATAAATCTATTGAGTCTGATTTCGTTCAATTGGGCTTTAACGGGTATTGTTGGGCTTTATTCGGTTCAACTGGCCTTTAATGGAGCTAATAGGTCTTATTTGGTTCAATTGGGCATTAACGGATATTATTGGGCATTAACGGGTATTATTGGGTTTTATTCGGTTCAACTGGGTTTTAAAGGGTATTAATCGGCTTTAATGGATCTTAGTGGACTTTAATGGATTATTGGGCTTTAACGGGTACTATTTGGTCTTTAATGGATCTATTGGGTTTTCAGTTGGGCTTTTACAGGTATTATTGAGTTTTAATGGATATTGGTGGAATTTAATAGATCTTAGTGGACTTTATTGGTTCAACTAGGCTTTAATGGAGCTATTGGGACTTATTCGGTTCAATTAGGCATTAATGGATACTATTGGACCTTATTCAGTTCAATTGGGCTTTAACGAGTACTACTGGGCTTTATTTGGATTAACTGGTATTATTGGCCTCTATTTGGTTCAATTGAGCTTTAACGAGTATTATTGTGCTTTATTTGGTTCAATTGGGTTTTAAAGGGTACTACTAGACTTTAATAGATCGTAGTGGACTTTAATGGATTATTGGGCTTTAACAGGTACTATTTGGTCTTTAATGGATCTACTAGGTTTTCAATTGGGCTTTTACAGGTATTATTGTGTTTTAATGGATGGTGGTGGAACTTAATGAATCTTAGTGGACTTTATTGGTTCAACTAGGCTTTAATGAAGCTATTGGGCCTTATTCGGTTCAATTAGGCATTAACGGATGCTATTGGGCCTTATTCGGTTCAATTGAACTTTAATGAATCTATTGGGTCTTATTCAGTTCAATTGGGCTTTAACGGGTACTATTAGACTCTATTCGATTCAGTTGAGCTTTAACAGGTACTATTGGACTCTATTCGGTTCAATCGAGCTTTAACGGGGATTATTGTGCTTTATTCGGTTCAATTGGGCTTTAAAGGGTACTACTAGGCTTTAATGTATCTTAATGGACTTTAAATTGATATATTGGACTTACTCGGTTCAACTAGGTTTTAATAGAGTTATTGAGTCTTATTCGGTTCAATTGAGTTTTAGTGGATACTACTGAGTTTTCATAGATGTTAATTAGTGGCCATATTCAGTTCAATTGAATTTTAACGTATACTATTGGCTTTAATTTTTTATTTTAAACATAAAAATCCGTTGAAATTTTATAAAAAGTTTTTTCCTTGCAAAAGTTATTTTTAAAGAAAAACGTAATTTTTAAAAACGTTTCGATGGATTTCCGACGGAGTTACTTATTTATTTTAATAATTTTTTTATCCAACTGAAATTTCTGTCGGAAATTTAA